CAGGAAAACTCTAGCTACAAATGGCACCCAACGTGGGGCAAGAGTTTCCACCTAAAACCTGAGAAAAAAGATTCTAAAACGGAGCTAAAAACAGTTCCTAGTTGTCTCTTTCAAGTTAGCGGCAGCCTGCTGGTTTGAGCTACTGGCGGGTTCCTAGCGTGCGTGCATGCTCGACCTGCAGTATGGTGGGAATGAGGCCTCTGCAAGTGGCACATTAAGCTGTGTGGTGGATTTAGCCTTTGCTTGTACAAAAAAAAAAAAAAAAAAAAAAAAAAAAAGAGGTTTCTGGGCTATACGCTGCTTTGATAGAAACATAGACCCACTATTTCTGAGATTTGATGGCTCCCAGAGCTGGCGGAAAACGTATCACCGCCATGTTGGGAAGCTAAAGTGGGCGGAGCCAGCAGCGCCAGTGCTGTTTCAGGCTTAGAAGGCTGCAGTTCAAAGCAATAGGCTCAAGCTAATATAAAAAAATAAGCCACGTAAAGATGGCTACCACACAGAGAATCTGGATTATGTTCTCTTTGATATTCATAACTAAAGAAAAACATTTGATTACAAAAGCTGTTGAGTTATGCCAAAATGTATATTTTAAAGGTACCTTGACTTCAAAATTTGGATGTAAGGATATGTTGCTTTGGAAAGGAGGCTCTGCTTTTGTTTCCACAGAAAGCCAGAGGCTATAGATTTGTTCCAGATTAAGACACATCAGGTTTGACCAGTCAAGACCACCTGAAAGGTCTCCGATGACACCATGGCCCAGATGATCCAACACCCAGAACCATTTCAAGGCAACTGGCTCAGACGATACACCCTCATGGAGTACTCCATAACCCTAAAATATTCTTTGTGTCCCCATAAGATACAGCGCCCCCCTCCAGCAGGAAGTAGTAAGAAAAGCTATGCCCAAATTCCCAAATATACCAAGCTGACTTTAGAGATGTGTAAAGGTTAAAACCTTCCTTTTTAAGAAAAAAAAAAGGGGGAAGTGCTGTGGGATGGTCTGTATGTCAAATGTGTTGCTGATTGGTCAATGAATAAATCACTGATTGGTCAGTGGCCAGGCAGGAAGTATAGGCGGGACTAACAGAGAGGAGAATTGAGAGACCAGGAAGCTGGATGGGGGAGACACTGCCAGCCGCCATCAGGACAAGGAAGATGTAAAGTACCGGTAAGCTACAAGCCACGTGGCAAGGTATAGATTAATAGAAATGGATTAATTTAAGCTGTAAAAACAGTTAACAAGAAGCCCGCCACGGCCATACAGTTTGTAACCAATATAAGTCTCTGTGTTTACTTGGTCGGGTCTGAGTGGCTGTGGGACTGACAGGTGAGAGAGTTTGTCCTGACTGTGGGCCAGGCAGGAAAACTCTAGCTACACTTTACATATACTAATAAGAATTTTTAGAAGTGAGGGGGGCCTTCTCTCCCTCACTCACACCACCTTATGGCAGATGAGGGGCAAGGCCAGATCTCTTAAGCTGAGGCACAACACAGAAACTCCTACACATTCTCCAAATCTTATCTTCAGAGGTAAATCTATGATATCTATATAAAAATCAATATGTTGAAAAATGAGCATGGAAGCAAAAACTTGTGTTAATTACAAATGTGGTTTTTAAAATTAAGAGACAATTAAGAAATGAAATTTGAATACATTTCAGAAAGTCTACCGAAGTTTTTAGAATATTACTAAATGTATACAGTGATTTCTATATTACTTTATAGATATGTACCAAGCAGGAAAAATAATTTTTATATTTATATTTTTATTGTAATTTTACCTCCATTTTTTAAATATCATATAAACAGCTAAATCACATTGATACAAGCTTATTTTAGGAAGTTTAACAGATTCTAACTGTTCCCATAGTTTGAAGGCTTAAAATAACTTCCAGTTTGGGTAAAGGAAAAGGGTAGTTTGAAATTCTCTTTGTGAATCATATAAAAGATATTGCAGGAAATATGAGTGTATGAAAAGGATCAGAATTAGGGACTGCAGCTTGACCTAGGATGTGAAGAAGTGTGCATGAAGATGTCCACATGATGGGATGGTCCATCAAACAAAGCAGTGCTGGATGATGAACCACACTTAGAGAGGAAAGGCGGATCAGCAGCTTCGTTCTGAAAAGGAAGCCACAAGACAAATGTTTCACTATCATAAACACATCTGGGGACATTTTTATCCTTATAGAGTCTTTCCCACAATAGCCAGCAGCTCTTTAAAGTGTTGCATTAAAGGTACTACATGAGTTTAAAGACTATTTTCTGTCTGTCTGTCTGTCTATACATTTACTTATAGACACCAGTGCCCCAGAGAAAGGGAAACTGCTTTGGTAGTAGCTTGTAGCAAAGTAGGTCAGCTCAAAGAGGGCAGAGAGCTGCCTGAAGGAAGGGAGAGAGCACAGGGCGTTAGATACAGGCACACATGTTACAGGCTGACCTCACGGCCGGGTATTCCTTATTACTATGCCTCCATGAGAAAGAAAAAAAAAAAAATGTGACAACATGCCCAGTGAAAGGATTGTTGAGAAATCAGCCTTCTCCTCAGAGCGAAGGTCAGACAGTGTCTGTTCACAGTGATTTCAATTTAGGGCCCTGGTATGGAAATATGGGGTAGACTTTAAAAAAGAAACATCGGCTTTGGCAATAAATGTGAATAAACTGTTTGTGGTTAAACATCGGCTGAAGGGAACCACATATTACATACAGGTTTTCAATAAATACCAGCAAACCCTTATTTTTATCTCACACTTATGGAAGTTTTATCATTTATTTTTGTTCCCTCTCAACATGACACTGTTTTTCTTTGTTATAGAAACTTTGGATTCTCTTACTTAATACTCTTATCTATTCATCAGCATGGATAAGCTCTTTTACATGTGACATAAAAACCTCACCCTTCCCCATGTCTGTTGTAGAGCACTGATACTAACGAGGAAAATAACTAGACATTCACGTCATCATGCTGAACCGTGTGGAAGATTTTTATCTGTCTGTCTTACCATCATGCTATCCTGTATATAAATAGAAGGCTTAATGAACTTTGACCTCGGATACCTTTTTACTATATCTGATTTAGGCATCATATTTGCATTGGTCTGTTCCACATAAAATAAAATCATGAAATGTGGCAAAATTGCCCCTGAAAATGTTCTTAAATTCATGTTATAAAGGAGCAGATACGATTTTGTCTATATAACCTTGTCCAGTGATTTAATTCAAAGCAACGTGGAAGTAACACGTTGAAATCTAAGGGAGGGAAAGAGTGAGCTAAAGGAAGTGTGAAGTGGGACTGGAGACAAGGCTCAGCAGTTAGGAGCATGGGCCACTCTTCCAGAGGACTGGAGTTGGGTTCCTCACAACCATCTGTAACTCTAGTTCCAGAGGATCTGATGCCCTCTTATGGCCTCTTTGTGTACTGCATGCCTGCACGCATGTGCTGTAAGGACAAACATACAGGCAAAACACCCATACACACTAAATAAAAATAAATAAATCTTTTAATTTAAAAAAGTGTGAAAGAAGGAAGGCCTCAATGCAAGTGGATGTTTGGGTGTGTATACCACATAATTTTGAGATAGAAATCTAATCCCTGTAGTTAACACAGGAAGCCTGGAGAATTTTAATGTGTTCCTACTTCCCTACATGTTAGTATTCATCTTCTGAGACACATACTCTAAAAGTATTGTTTGGCTTCTTTATCACTATGATTTAAAATCATGGTAGACATACCTTTGGGGTTGGGAGGTGAGACAGATGGGTAGCTGAAGACCCAGTATAAAATTAGAATAACCAAAAAAAACCCCAAAAAACAAAAAAAAAATCATGGCCACCATTTGAGTGTGTTTATTGTTACTGTTGTTTGGGGGAGGGATTTACTTATTTTTATTTTATGAACATAAGTGTTGGTCTGTATGTATGTATGTATACTGTGCACAAAACTGGTGTCCTTGAAGCAAGAAGAGAACATTGCATCCTCTAGAGCTGAAGTTATAGACTCCAGTTGTGAGCCACCAACTGTGCTCAGTGCTGGGAACTGAACTCCAGGTTTTCTGCAAGAGCAGGAAGTGCTCTTAACCACTGAGCCCTCTCTCCGTGCCTTTATTTGGAGACCTTGGAATGGAACAAACCCAGGTGGATTTGTGAAGAACTAACACAGTGATAAGCCACAGAGATAACAGGCACTTGTTTTTCACTAGTTTATAAAGTCTCGTTATCAAAAAAATGTGGTGTGTGTGTGTGTGTTCATAAATATCCCCTGCCAGTGTCTTAATATGACCATCCTAGATATAACCCCAGAAAGACAGTTTCATCTGAGGTTTGGCTTGTATAGTTCTTCCATAGCTCGTCAAACCCATGAAAGGAACAGCATACCCCGTACCAACCATACCCTTGACTGCAAAGGAACCAACCTGTCTTTATCATTACTCTCGATTTGTACTTTACAACTCTGCTTCTGCGCTTTCAGTTCACTTTTTTTTTTCTTTTGCTGGGACTTTGAAATTCTCCAAGGCCCTAGGCTAAGGGATAAACCTAATGCTGGATGGATAAACTGGTGTTTCTGAAAAGAATACGTTAGTCATTCTAAAGAATACTCACCTCTTTGTCCCCTTAACTAGCAAGAAATAGCACAGGGTGCCTGACCTACAAAAAGTAGTGAGTCAAAATCCCTCAAAATCCAAGAGTAAGTCTCTTTTCAGACCAGGAAGAGCTGTATAGCAAGACCCTGTCTCAGACACAGCGACACAAAGAAAAAATGTTCTCATTCCTCATCTTTTTGAATTATAAGCGGTGAATTTGGACAGGATGATGACATTATTATATTTTCGTTATTGTGTATTATACTTGTTTTCTTGATATGCCTTTCCTATCCAGTCTTAGAAGATGGAAGTAGACCCACTGTACTGCAGAGAATATTAAAACCTGAAGAGAGATACAGCATCAGCACAGGGATATTTGGCAAAGTACAAATACGGTTGTTTCCTGTTTTCCCACAGCCTCCATAGTGATTGGGAAATGGTGGTGTGAGATGGAGCCCTGTCTAGAAGGAGAAGAATGTAAGACACTCCCTGACAATTCTGGATGGATGTGTGCCACAGGCAACAAAATTAAGACCACAAGAGTAAGTCCACTTCAAATACTGCGTCCTTGTTTCAAACTGTACTTTTCACTTCGCTCTTGCAGTAGCAGCAGTCAGAAGAGCTCTGAATGAGACAGGAGGAGAGATTTCCTTTAACAGGACATATTCTGAACTTGGTGCGTCAGTGTCCACCCATGAATTAGAAGTGAGAGTTAGAACCTGACCTGTTCTGTTCGCATGGCGTGGTTCTTTATTTATGTTACAGAGTCACAAATAAAGCAAGGGAGGGACATCAGTAGGGCAGTTACTTGGGGAGGGAATCTTCCAACCATGCTGCTCAGAGTGATAAGCACCTGACTTACTTGATTCATCCAGGCAGTATGCTGAAAAAGACTGTGTTTAAGAACAATCATGTTTACAGGAATTTTAATGACATTTTGGAGAAGTACAAAGAGATTTGTAAAGTCAGTAATTATTCCTTGATTTCTCTGGTTAAACCAGGAGCTTCCTAAAATGAAGTCTGTAGATGAGGTTGCCTCACCCATTAGAATCAGTATTATGGTGCTATATAAGGATAGAGTGATGTGGCTAGACCAACCACTAACCATGTAGGGACTGGAATGACCTAAAGGGGAGAAGGTGGGTGGAGTTCTGGATACTTAAGAGAGAGATCCACTAGTGCAAAGGCATGAAAAACCTTTTGTTTTGTTTTTCCGAGACAGGGTTTCTCTGTGTAGTTTGTGTAGTTTTGGTTCCTGTCCTGGATCTCACTCTGTAGACTAGGCTGGCCTCAAACTCACAGAGATCTGCCTGGCTCTGCCTCCTGAGTGCTGGGATTAAAGGTGTGCGCCACCACCGCCACCCGACTGCATGAAAACAATTCAACAGTTAGTTTCATCCTATGCTGTGTACCACCCAATTGTCAGCATAGCAGCCCTGGAGAGAGTCTCTCTCTCTCTCTCTCTCTCTCTCTCTCTCTCTCTCTCTCTCTCTCTCTCTCTCTCTCTCTCTCTCTCTGTGTGTGTGTGTGTGTGTGTGTGTGTGTGTGTGTGTGTGCGCACGCACGTGCATGTGTATGTGTGTGTATTTATTCCTTGGCATTTTAAAGGTGATCTTTACCAGTTGTGAAGTTCACATGATAAACATTTACTCTAACAAAATGTGACTCAATTTTTTAATTCTAGCCACTACATCATGAACATTAATATGATCTTTCTTCTCAATATTATACTGTCAATTACTAAAAGTGGTTTTCACAGTTGTGTGATACAGAAATCAGAAATAAAGTTACATAATAGTATATGAAAACACTCAAGTTTTTCAGATACAAAATAATGGTGCATCAAATATGGTTACTCATATGGACTATAGCGGCCAATAAATGGCCATAATTCCTTGACCTGTGGTCAAGAGGGATTTCTGAACTACCTCAGCTTATTAATATGCATCCTCATGTCTCTGAATAATTCAGCATAGATTTTTGTCTCACATTGCAATTCAAGACTTACATAAGGAAACATAAAGAGGTGAGGCAGGCTTGGGTTACTTACCCTCAAAAGAAATTGTTTTAATTAGCTGATGGAGGAAGCCAGATTTGGCTAGGGTTATGTTTTCTCTGAAAGATACCTGGACAAACTAGAACACTTGAAGCTACTCTGAATTAGAGTCCAATCACTTTTGATTTGAGCACATCATTTATGTGTCTTATGCCAAGTCTCAGTCTTTATTCAACTGATGACTGGTCTCCTATATGGGAGGTACCCCATTGCTCTCAGAGTGGTTTAGAATCCAAAACTCATTAATGAAAATTAATCCAACTCAAATGATTTCAGTATTCAAGTATAGAAAATTCCAAGAATACCAATTCAGAGACTCTCTGAAAGACTTTATGCTCAAAATAAAAGTGAAACGAACTAAAAAATGAAAACATCCAGAAATAGTTCAAGCTACTTTTTTTGAGAGCTGTCCAACTTTTATTCAAATTCAGCCTCTATTTTATTTTGGAGTTTATTTTAACTGTCAGGCATGTTGTAATGCAGCTCTGGACACTTTCCACCTCGAAGGAGGCTCATGCAGAACCTGATCGTTGTCACTGAGGATGTAGCGGCTGTTTGGCCCACCCTGGGTGCACTGAGGTCAACCGAGGCAGCTGAAAGTGCAAGAGAAACACACCATGGCTGTTACAACTTTGAAAGCTGAGGGTGTATGTGTTCTGTCGTGTGCACATCTGAGAATTCTCAAGTCTACTTTTAGAGTGGGCAAAGAGGATGCTGGGTAAAGCTGTGCTTATAAACACCGAGAGGATTCAAACATTGCTCTCATCCTTTCTCTGCTCAGTTCCCGAGAGCTCCCAGACCAAAAAAACAAAAAAACTTTTAAACAGAAAATATAGCCACTGAGCCCAGACATTCATCCAGGAGCCCACATTCTGAGCAGGTGGCAGACTAACACCACTTCTTAGATAAACAAGGTCAATGCTAATTTTTCATACACCTCTGTGTGTTTTCCTCATCAGAATACATATGTGCCTACCCATTTCAAATATTGACTCTAGCAATTTAACTTTTAAAGTAGTTTAATTCACAGAGGGACGTCAATTATTGTGAGTCCAACTTTTATTGTTATCTAAGAGGTAAGAAAAATAAAAGAAACCACTTATTTTCTTCTTACATGTAAGACTGGTTGAGAAAGAACACTGCCCACAATTTTAAAAAAAGAACAAGTTAGAAGATACTCTAAAGTATTAACTGTTAAAATGGCAAGTGACCATTTCTTTCGAGCTGTTGGTTTAAATATTAACTCTAGGGCCAGGGAGACGGTGCAGTTGCTAAAGTGATCACTGTGCAAGTGTAAAGAACTAAATCCAGATTCCCATGCCCCACATAAAAAGCTATGATGACATATGCCTGTGTCCTGCTGGCCGATTATTCTTGCGCGTGATTATTCTTGCCAAATTTATGAGCTCTGGCTTCAATAAATGACCCTGTCTCAAAATACACAGTTCAGGGTACTAAAAGAAGACATGAACCTCTGGTGAGCTCCATGTACATATGTGTGTATACACACACTCTCCAGAAAACATGTGTGTACACATTACCACATAAAAATAAATGAAATAAATTCTGTGGTAAAGGTCTTTGCCAGAAAGTTCCCAGAGACTTGATTCTTTTCCCTGGGAAATAAAAAAAAAACCACAAAAAACCTTCTGGGGGTGGCAGGGACCTCAGAACATCTCTGAAATACTCTGATAAGATGTTTCACTGTGTGGTCTACTTTAAAGATTTCCAGTGTTCATTTTTAAAGGAGGGCTGGAGAGTAGAAATCCCAGTATCATCTAAACTACAGCCAGAATGGAGTAGCAAGCCACAGTGAAAGAAACTCTAGGTAATCATGGGTCTTAGAGACAGTATAAACTAAGGAGGTAGAAAAGATAGGTGGAATAAGGCAAAGCATTTTCTACTAAGGGTTCTGGAGTGATAAATCTTAAGAAGAATGAAGATCTCTGGAAGACAAGATACAGAAAAGAAGTATTCATGTTTGAGATGTTGTCAAAGATTCAGTGTGAAGTAAAATAGTGTTGGTACCACACTAGGGAGAAGCAAAGCTCCATGGCAAACACTAACCCTGCCCCACCTTGATCATCGGTTGAGTTAGTTGGTTGAATTTTCTTATTGTTGTATAATAACAAAATTAGACTAAATATTGCCTAAAATCGTTTTCTGGGTTTCCAGATATTTCTTAATCCTTCTTTTATTTAAAATAGCATATCAAATAAAGACTTGGAATGTTGGTGAGGCTGTACCCATGTTCAGGAACATAGAAACCCTGCATAGGCTTGATTTAGAAGAGCAGAATTCCCCACCAAGGAAACAAGCTATTTGGCAATAATATACTAACTACACCTGGAAATGGAATGTCAGGTATTTTGAAGATATTAAAGGGAAAGAGATGAAATTCAGAGAAAATTATAGTCAATTGAAAAGAAAAACAAAGGATGAAGATTGCAGAATGTAGTCTGATTGATTTCCTTGGGAAGAATCGATCAACTGTGGATTTGTGCAAATCAGTGGGGAAAAACAGTAATTAGTGTGTCTTGTAAACTCAAGTTCTTTTCACTTAAGCCAGGAGTTATCAGACCTTAAATAACACAACAAAACATAATAATCATCTTGCCAAGTCACTGCTTTTGTGACTGGCCAACATGAATCCATGGTCCTCTGTCCATGCTCTCTTGGTCTTTCCCTCTGATGATGACTTTGAATTTGGCAATATATGTCCATTCTAGTTATCTCAACTTTTTTTTATATTTAAGAAAGAGCAAAATACCAGTTTTGACACCTTCTAGCTTCTTTACTAAAATTCTACCAGGTCTAAAATGTTTTAAGAGACTATGGCATTACACTTCTGATTTCCATTCAATTTCCAGTTGAAATACAGAAAGGGAGGGAGATGAGGATCCCAACCTCCGAAGAAGTAATATCAAATTGCTGTCTAAATGAAAAAGCAATTGAAAGGAAAGGGAGAGGTGTTAGACATGGAGCTGCCTGAAAGAATCAGAGAATTGCAGGAAGGGAAGACAAACCATTTTACACAGTAACCGTTGCCTCAGAAATGATAAACTCCATCATTATTTTAGTCTGGAAGTACGGGTAAGCCTGTGGTGTCTAATTTTAATGTTAATGTCTCCAGGATTTGATGGCAGCAGGACAAGAGTCCCCGGTCTTCTGTGTTGGGGTATGGAGGAAAGATGTGATGAAAGAAAGGCTGTTTCAATTCAGTTTGGTGGGTGTTACTGTATCCCTTCCTGTGGTGGAAAAGAGGACACTGTCAACCAAAGGTTACATCCACCATTGGAATAAAGGAAACAATGGCTTAAAAAAATCTCTTTATTTGTAAGGATAGAATACAAAATACAATTCTCCACCTGGACCAAGCAATGTTTGAGTGCAAATTTTTATTATTGTTCTACCTAACTCCGAAAGATTTGAATTTATTTGTACTCCTAGACTCAGAAGGATCATTTTTCAAAGCTATAAATAATTAAGAAGACTTGGAATGTACTTCTATGATATCCTGGTACACACAAGACCCTAAGTTTGGTCCAAACATCACAAGAAATTGAGATGATAAAGAACAATAGCTTATTTCCTCAAGCTGGCTTCTGCCTGCTAGAGTTCTTGTTCATGTTCTCAGCCAGTGGTTCCTTGAGCATGCATATATCCTTAATATTTGATTCTTTGGGTCCATAATGAGATGGATTAATTGGCTTGTATAGATCCAGGCATCTTCTTGATTCCAGTTAACACTCATCATTGGATGTAATAGTTCCTCATCTTATAAAGGTCTTCCTCTGTTCCTTCATATACATGGACTAACCTAGGCGATGACTTTACCAATGGCCACTCCTTAATGGCTTACAACAGGACAACTACACAAGGCCATGGGGTGACTAGTTCAAGTTCTCACCATAGGATCAGGGGTTGAGTACATTATTTACATGGCCCAGTGCAACAAGAAAATGCAAGGTCCTCATTAAAAATTTATTAGTAAATTCAAGATAGCAACACTGAGGAAATAAACCAACTGTGGGACCCTTATTGGTACAGAACCCATGGAACTGGATAGCGGTTGTATATCCATGAAGGCAGTTCTGGATAGACATTCCTCTAAGAATCTTTCTCCTCAGTTTTGACACAGGAGCTTAATGGGTTTACAGAAATATGAAGGATCTCTCCACGTGCTTTGAGCATCAGTTGAGAACCACCTGAATTAGGCAACACAAAATTAAAGGCATCCTCATTTTCTGCATGAACACATTTCTTTGTGCCTTTGTTTCTTACTTTTCTTACTGAAATACCTTTCTTCCTTTGGTTTCAGATTCACCCAAGAACCTAACAGAAGCATTCATTATATAAAATAGGAAAATACGTTGTGAGGAGGTGAAATATCTGACGAACTTGCAAGCCAAATGGATCTCTTATTTGTACTTTGACTGGTTACCAGATAATCACAGTGCATTTGCTCTGTGACACAAAGTATCCCATAAGAAGACTCGGGATTTTCTGACAACATCATGGAAAAATGGCTTAAAAAAAAAAAAAACGAGTTTTCTCAGTGAAATTTGGAGGATCATGAAGAACGATCAACCGTCTTCTAACTTGAAACTACCGTTACTTTGTACCATTTGAAATATATGTATATATATAATATTTTGAAATATTATATATTCTCTTCGAGAAATGAACAGTACCACAATGTGAGGTGGCTGGTGTACCCCTTTCAGTTTTGGATGTTTGGTCGGTTTTGTTTCATTTGCCATTTCTTTTTCTCTTGGTAAGGAAGATACACACCCGTGTGAGAATCCAACACGGCACTCTCCCTGGAAGGCCAGCTGCAGACGGACTCGTGGAATCTGAGGCATCCTAACAATACTGAGTCAAGAGCTTCCCTCTGTTTCTACCTGGTGACCCAAGGAAGCTCATCGTCTTCTTTTATTGCTTTCGACCCTGTGCAATATTAGCATGCAAGCTTGGCTTACATAACCATACTTTATATTCGATTGATATATAATAACCGTTCTAACCTCTTCCAGGAAAGTATTTTTAGAACTACTAGCTTTTCCACAGATAAGCAAATGAGGATTCTTGCGGGAGCTGCTCCACCACACTATTAAGACTCTGGCAGGATGGTAGGATGTAGATCCCTATATTAATAAGTCCTGTAAATACAATGTCTTAGGGCTTTGTATAGCTGTCCTAGACTGCAGAAGTGTCCTCCGATTAAATCCAAAGTCTGACATCGTTAACGACGTAGTGCTGTAGTGACAAGTCTTATCATGGCACCTCTTTCTATGTTTGATTTGCTTTTTCCTAGAGTATTCGCATCTCCTCTGGTGAGATAGGAAGGCTATGAAAGCAATTAGGTTTCCCAATGATCTATGTGACCAAATGTTGGACAGCCCTATTAAAGTGGTAAATAACTTCTTTCTTAACCCACTTGTCCTCTGTGTCTGCCATTTAGTTTTACAGACTCGGCTCTAACCCAATCACAAGAACACCCTGCTCGTATTTGTAGTAAGCTAGAAGGTCTTTGAAACTACAGAGGCTACTATTTCCAACAATAATACTTTGAAAATTAGAAGTTCATTAACATGATCATAGTGAAATATCCAGTGACAATATATGGGGCTTCCATGTGGGTCACTCTGATAATATACATGGGGCTCATCCACCCACCCCACCAAAAAGCCATTCTCTCCATCTTTTTGGAGTTACTGAGCTAAGAGTAAACATCTACTTAAGATCTAGTTTTCCTGGGGCAAGTTTTCACAGAACTTTACACGCCCATTATGATGTCATCTCAGAAGGGCAGATTTTCTGTTTTGTTTGCTCCTAAACTTATCCTCTGGCATCTGTGTTGTTAGAGCCTCTTACTAAATCAACAGCCCTGCGGCCCCTGAATCTGGACTTTTTAGTATCAAACCTCAAGAAAAACTCAAGACACCCCTTGAACTCTACCCAGACAGCCTGAAGTTTGATTGGATGTGTGAACTTCTAACAAGAAAAATCTGATTCTGTATCTCAAAGGCCTGTAAAAAGCATCTGGAGAAAGTAATGGAATCTTGACTGTAAAATCAAGACTTCCAAACAGATCTGTGGCTATTTGCTAAAAAGGTAACATAAAGTTCCATAGCAGTATCCAGGTGTGGTGGCAAGTGACAGCTAGCCATTACTTGAGATCCCAGCACTTGAAAAATGGACATGAGAGGATTGTGAGTTCAAAGTCTGCCTGGGATACAGAGCCAGACCCCTGGCCCCAAATAAAGAAAAATATTCATTCCAGCAATCATTTCTGAGTTTTACAGTACAGATTCAAGTGCCAAGCAAGATACTTAAAAAAAAAAAGACCACTTCTCAACTTTTCATCTGTTAGCTTCAGATTAAAATTAAAACCATGAACCCTAAGAATTATATATTTAAGGAAAAAAATAAAATAAAAATGTTTGGCAGAGAATTTGACAGCGCCTTTAACAGACCAAAAGGCAGTATGGCATCAGAGAAGACTAAAACAAGAAAGCCAAGCTTGAAACAAAAATAAATAAATAAACCAGGATTCAGGCATGTTGGGGTAGCTCTTTGCTAAATAGGAGAGTTCACATCATGTGAAATGGGAGCCTACAAAAATTTACTTCTATGGCAAATTTACCATAACCATATTGCCACATCTTCAATTTTTCAGGAAACACAGAAATCTAGAGTTTTGTATAAAGTTCCCTAATATTCCTAAAACCAAGTAAGCCAACTTCACTTAAATGGCTGCAAACGTTGTTCTTGTGTCACTCTCTGAAGGGTGGACTTAGCTATGACGTTAGTGTCCCCTGGAGTCGTCTTCTGCTAGTTTTGCTCCCCGATGAGAGTCCAGTGAGAAGAAAGCAAGCTCTTCTATTTTGCAAAACCTTTCTTTGTAAGACAATTCTGCTAACACACACACACACACACACACACACACACACACACACACACACACACACACACACACACACAGTATGTGAAGCACCAGAAGCTCTAACCCAATGCAAGGGCTAGCATAGGGGCTTCATCTGTTAGCTCACACCCATCCATGAATTCATGCAGTAGCATCCCTTGAAGAGAGAGTCCTAGAGGAAGAAACCACATCAGAATCAGGCAGCCATCCAATAAGACAGTGCAAATATTTGTAAATGTCAAATTCAATTTGGATTCATCCAAGCCCCTTACACAAATGTGTGAACCATCAAATTGTGTTTAAATTTAACTTGTTCAAATTTGGGGGATTCAGTCGCTACCATCTGCCTACTGAGCCTGCACATTTATGGTGCACAAAATTTTATCACATGCATATGGTAATAAAGGGATCAGTGTGTATGACTAATATCAATTTTAAGCTTGTGCCCCACGTACCATGAATAATGTGGTAACATAATTGGAATATATATACCAAGTTTCAGCCAGAGTTCTGTTCTTGATAAAAGAGAAAGTGAAGCTTGTTCAAAGGTTTTTTTGAAGTTGAGTCAAGTTCATTTGCTGACATTTTGGGGTACTTAGATTTACCTGTTCATTGGCTCCACAAGCACATTGGGAAGTTGACTACTCGGCATTTTCTAGCATGGAGCGACAAGTACCTTCACCAGCACACAGCCAACATCTTTTTTCGATTAAATCATGTAGCTTTCACAGAGCACTATAGTGATTTTATAGCGCACTATATTATGCCACCTTGCCATTGTCACTAATACAGAAAGTTATGGAAGGTATAAATATTGTTTATAGGAGCAGAATCACCCATTCCTCACATCCATGGAACTTCTCTACTAGTTAAGCCGGGCAGGTCCGTTTCCAAAACTCTTGGAGTCTGTTTGACACAGCAACGTGTCATGCCTTTTTGCATGAGCTGTTACCTTCTAAATGGCAGTGTTAGTGTTTAGTAAGATTGTAAGACTGAAGTCATCTCCGGATATTTTCTAAATACAAGAAGACATGATAAAAGGCAGGATTAGAAATGGGGGTGTTTGGGACAAGCGACATTAGGGATGGAATCTAATTCCCTAAAACTCATGGGCTTTATACTAAAATGATGAAAAGGAATGCTGGTTATACTTCAAAGTAAATTAAAGAGGCCAAGAATCAAGCTCTCTCTCCCTTCCTCTCCCTCTTTTTCTCTCCCCCTTTCTCTCTCCCTCCTCTCTCTCACACACTAAATTACCTATTAAAGATTTTATGATTTTAGGCTTAGGAGGCTGGATTTTTTCCACTTGAAAGATAGTTCAGAGACATCATTGGCTGTCATGACACCCTTACATTGTTGCTGGTTCCCATTTGTTTATTCTGCTTATTCCAGTGAGTTTGTGTTACTTACAAAATATAATGGGCCATTACTATAGCTCTCAGAAAATAAAGGTGCTTGCTAGCAGGCCTAATGAGCAATCTTCAGAACCCATGTGGTAGAAGGAAAAAAGCAACCCTGGCAAGTTGCCCTCTGGCCTCTACACACAATCCATGGCAGTGAGTGTGCACACACACACACAGCGGATTCAACTTCTATCTACTCCAACTTTAGACTAATAAAACTAGTAGGAAAGGAAAATTATGGGACGGAGAGAAGGCACTGCAAACCTGAGAGATTCATATGACTAGAGGAGCTTGTGTATTTACTCAAAATAATGTAGGCCAGTGAAGAGGGCCTCCCCATAAGTTTCTATGCTCTGCACACAACCTCCTACGTGTGAACTCAGTGTGTGACTCCTTCCTCCCCATAAAAGACCCTCTCCACTCATACCTGGACTGTATGTGGATACTTCATTTATGTGGTTTCTGACCTGAACTTTGTCACTGGGGTCAGACTGAGAAAGTCTAAAGGCCTCTTTCTTGTCCTATCCATGTCACTTATGCATATTTCTTCCTCTCTGCTCCCTTTCACATCTCAGGCCCCAAACATTATACACATTGAAAATAGCCTTTACATGACATGATAAGCACCTAAAAATCAATTCCTCACTTTCTACCCACAGCCTGGAAAAGCATGCTCACCTTCTCTTTGCTTTCATATGCGCAAGATGGATATCACTACACAAAATTTGAAGATTATAGGAGGATGAGGGGAGAAAGAAGCAGAAACATTTTACATAAACAAAGTGATAGGAGTAATTAGCCTTATTGTGAGTATCATTGCCAGAGAATAATGCCAGTGGTATTACTATGATATCATTCTAGAAACTCTGTGTCAGGGTCTCCACTCAAGACAAACACTGAAAGCAAAGCCACAATGTTATTTCACACTCTCTTTCTACAATGTTCAAAGACTGCATAGATCCATACTGAACTGTCTAGAATTTTCCATTCACTAGTACCATATATATGTACCAAAATACTATTAGTATTTTTCAGCCCCTGGAAAATGCCAGTGTAAGCCACACTTGAACAATGTCATTACAAATATCATGACCAGATACCTTCTCCACACATAGCTGTCACTCATTCAGGCTAGCTGGCCAAGCAGATCATATAGCACTCTCTATTACTCCAGAAGTATGGCCTCTGGGTCTTTTTCATACCCACCTCGCTGTTAAAGATCACATTTATTCATTCAGTCATTTATTCATTCAAGGAACAATCATCGAGTTTTTACTATATGTCACCACAGTAGTGAATACTGAGAATGACATTATACTGTCTATGAAAGACACAAGTAATGACCAAGAATCATGACACAGGAAATTCCAAAGGTACCAAGAGAGTAAATGATGGGAGAAAAATGCTAGCTTTAAGTAGAATACTCACAGAATGTCTTGAGGATGTGACATTTGGTTTGAGAACAGGAGCATAGCAGGAAATGAGAGAGTTGAGGGGAGTGATAATGAAGAGGCTTTATGTAGATTCCAGGTGGCCAAGGCCTGTCAAGGAAGAGCTGGATGTGTCTGCAAAAATGAAAGCACCTCTAGAGCTTTATGACATTGGGAAAGGGAGCTTGAAGTCACATTATGCAGCATGTACACACAATTAAAGCATAGAGTTCTATCTGAAGGGGTCTTAGAAGCTGGGAGTTGCCCAGTCTGATTATACCTGTAATAGGTATCATTGGGGTCCAGTCATATCCTCCACTTACATCCTTATAAAAAAACTAGGTGTGGTACAGGGGATTTGGAAAGCAATCATTGACCACTAACAGAGGAGACTAGAGGATAAAACCTCCATCTTCCTCCATTCCAAGTGGGAGAATCTGAAGCATGCTGTGTTCCAGCTCTGTGGAAAAGAAAGACACTACAGTTTGAAGATGCCCTCCGTTTGAGCTGTCTAGTTGGGAAATTGTTGGCACATATGGCTTTCAAGCTCTCAGATGAGGTGACCATAGTGTAAGAACAACTTACTTCTGCTTAGAATTGTCATTGACTTAAAAATCAGGTTTCATTTAGACTAGACCAGCTGCTACTGCATCGGACAGCAGAGGTCGGTCTGT